ACGTCAATTTTTAGAATAATTTCAATTGCAACGGAAGAAATGCATGCTCTTTAAACAAAACTCACTATAACCAACGAACTACGTAATAGAATATCTGGCTACCGTTAACATTGGAAAATAAAAATCCTTATAAAAAAAAAAAACTTAAGGTTCCACCGAGATTTGAACTCGGATCGCTGGATTCAAAGTCCAGAGTGCTAACCATTACACCATGGAACCACGTCAATTTCGTCTTAAAATAATTTAAATTTCTGCGGAATAAATGCATGCTGCTTAAACAAAACTCACAATAACCAACGAACTACGTAATAAAATATCTGGCTACCGTTAACATTGGAAAATAAAATCCCTTCCCCGAGATTTGAACTCGGATCGCTGGATTCAAAGTCCAGAACCGGAACCAAATAATTTCTTTCAGCGGAAGAAATGCACTGAACAAAACTCACAAGTAACATTAGAATATCTGGCTACCGTTAACATTGGAAAATAAAAATCCTTATAAAACTTAAGGTTCCACCGCTTTGAACTCAGATCGCTGGATTCAAAGTCCAGAGTGCTAACCATTACACCATGGAACCACGTCAATGGCGTTTAAGAATAATTTCAATTTCAGCGGAAGAAATGCGTGCGTCTTAAACAAAACTCACAATAACTAATGAACTACGTAATAGAATATCTGGCTACCGTTAACATTGGAAAATAAAAATCCTTATAAAAAAACTACATTATTTGCGCATCCATATATTCAAATATTAACTGTCGAAATTATGAAAAAAAATTAAAGATTTTAAAATAATATTCTTTCAATATAGGAAGAAATTGCCTGTTTTCTTATGAGTTTAAACTCACACCATGAACCAACAGAATAATTAAATTATATTCTGCGAACTCATGATGAGCATTGGAGAAACAAATATCGCACTAGTAAAATAAATATTTTTGAATGATTTCATTCTTTTAATTTCGTTTATATTTATATATATTTTTATATTTCATTTTTAGTGTTCTATATTTCTTTACAGTGTGAGTTTAGTATCATTATTACTATATTATCTATGTTTACATGTAAGAATAAAAGTAAATACAATAATGATAACTCATTATATTTCAATTATTCTCTCCAAAAAATATCTATAGTTAGGATGCATTTCCAAAGTGCTCCCCTGCTCAAATCTATACCCATACATTTGATACATAAAAAAAAGATAAGTGGAATATGTTTATGGTGATTAAAAAATTTTAACATGATAATATTTCATTCCAAATATTTCCATGTAAAATTCGGTAAAAGAATAAATAAATAAAAAAAGATTGCGATTAATTTTTAATACATTGCCTCTTAAAATAATTTTGCTAAAAATATTAATTTACAAATTAAAAACAAAATTTCAGGTTCCACCGAGATTTGAACTCGGATCGCTGGATTCAAAGTCCAGAGTGCTAACCATTACACCATGGAACCGCATGCGCAAATGATATTTATTATAATAAAAGAACGATGTAAACAAAAACATCAGCACCTGCTTACGTTCATACGATATTTATATTCATGGATTCGCTGCTTATTTACCATCACTAATGGAAATGGTAATTCTGGTAAATATTTTGTCACGATTTCTAGGAACTAATATCAACAATTTTTTTTTTTTCGATGAAAAATATGTAGAATGAATAAAAACTGTGATCTGCATTTCATACATTTCATGAATTGATCAGAAATTTTAATATAATATTTTTAATGCAAATCGGAATACATGAATATTTTTAATGAAATTGAAAAAAATATTTTACGCTTTTTGCAAAAAAATAAATGTATATAATTTGGAAGGTAGATGAAATATGTTCTCATAGTTTTTTTTTTTTTTTTTTTCTGATGAGTAGATATTAATGCTGATTAAATTTCGATTAGTTTAAGCTTAAAGAAACTTTTTATGGAAATATTTGTGAAATATTCGTAAGAAAATTTAAAATATCGAACAATCCTGCTGTAACTAAATTCGAAAATACGCATTGTGTAGTGTTGTCGGTTTGTTTGTAATGGGGCGTGGATGGATTGGGACACAGGTTTGAGAACACACAACTTTATTTACAAGCGATCAAACACGACACACATGCAACATTAACACATTTACAAATATATAATTATACATTCGTGGAAAGATTCCACTTCTAAACCAAAAATTATTCCCTACCTACTATTTCCTAAACTTTCTTTCTCTCCGGTTGAGAGTTTGTAGGCCAACTTATGCACATGGTGGTGCTAAATATATTTACTCTCGTGGTGAGATACTGTAAATTAAGCGTTTTTAGCGGCAGCGTTGGTTGTACTGTACTTCCTCTCGGCCGGTCAGTAACAGTTAGTAGGCTTCTGAGTCTCGAGGCCTACTAACCTTTTCTTCTGAAAGCCACAGGGGGCACTCTGGCAGTGCGTAGAAGGAAGCTCGGTTACACTTGTTATATTTATGATCAATATGTTTTTATAATATTTTATTTATTTATTTTTATTTTAGTAATTAAAGTATGAATTTTACCCTACAAATTTTATATTAGAATAAGAATGCAATTCTCTGATTCACCGAAATCATCCTACGATTCATCGCTACTATTATCCCTATAAATGCTTTCACTGACTCATTTTGAAAGCAATAGAAAGCAGATTTTAAGCAATGGAAACGGTTTTGCCAACCCAACCTTCGGTTTTTGAAGTACACTTACTGCTGTGCCCAAAAAGTAAGACAATTTTTTTTCAAAAACTCTTTATTTATTCTTCCAAATTTATTTCATCGCCAAATTTTAATCTCTCCCCCCCCCCTGACACAATGCACTTATGCCAACTTTTTTTCCAATCCTCAATGCATGCTAAAAAGTCATCGGCAGGGATGGCCTTCAAAGCGCTCCGATTCACGTTGAGTCTCTTCAATTGACTCAATACGGTATCCTCGGAATAGTCTTTTAAGTTTAGGGAATAACAAAAAGTCGCACGGTGCGAATACAGTGGTTGTGGAAGGATGTGTGTTTAATTTTTGGCGAAAAAGTCACGAAGAATCAAAGCAGTGTGAGCTGGCGCATTCAGTGTTTTCGGTACTAATCGAGATTTGACGCTTTTGAGGCTCAAAATGGAATTGATCGATCCTTTTGAAATTCCAACATCATCAGCAAGCTCTCTAATTTTAAATCGACGGTTTGCAAGCACCAAATCTTTAACTTTTTGGACGTGAGCTTCATCGGTTGAGGTGGATGGTCGACCAGAGGGCTCTTCGTCTTCAACGCGTTGTCTGCCTTCATTGTACTGTTTATACCACTTCTAAGCATTTCTTTCCGACATAGGAATGCTCACCGAATTCCTTCTGCAACATTCTATAAGCTTCCGCAAACAAAATTGAATGCAAGTTCTTTGCTCAACTAATTCAGGCATTTCAAAAATCGCCGGAATCAGTTTTAGCGTCTCACAAAGCCAAGCGTAACTGAAACACTAATGAATATTTTGACGTCAAATTTCACACAGATGTCAAGACGAGTGCCAGCAACCTAAAACAGAATTGATATTCCATTAGCTCCGGACTTTTAAATTGAAAATTGGTCTTACTTTTTGGACACAGTAGTAAATCAGAAGTCTGCAAAAAAAAAACAAAAAAAAAAACAAAATCGCCATAAAATATCGCAAATGAACTCGAGTTCCTTCATGATATCATACACGAGATAACTCAAAATATTCATTTTAGTTCAGAATAAAAGATTATTTTTCACACGAATTAAATAATGGAGCTTCAAAATAAATATCTTACGTATGATATTAAATATATTTTATTATTTATCTTACACATATTTACAACTATAATCCCACACACTTTAAATCCAATATCACTTACAATACAATACGTAATACGTCTGAAAAAAAGAACGGTAAAATTTAAAAATTAAATTATGAATTCGGTTTTTTTTGGGAGGGGGGGGTGTTATAAAGATAAAAAGGATCTGAACTTGATTTACTTTTCATAAAAGGCATTTCTTTAGATATTTCTTTTGATACGCTTTGGATGCTTCAAAAACTAAATAAATAAAATCATTGTAAATAAATGAGCACTTTCTTACAAGCACTGGATGTTTTTTTCTGTATTACAATTTTTGTTTTTTATTAATTCCGAAACATGATTTCACTTGAGATGGAATTCCTTTATAAGTAAACTGTTATTTTTTGAAAAAGAAAATCATAAAAAGCATTTAAACTCAAAGAGATAAATTCTTTTTTGCGTTTGATATAAAAGGCATTCGACATTATTAACTTTAAAAAGTAAATATTCTTACTCTTATAAATATTCTTTTTTTGCTAGTTTAATAAAAATTTTCGAAATAAGCCTCTCGAATAAACGTTTATACTGCATTAAGTATTAAAGCTCTTAAAGAAAATCTGCATAAATCTAAATCATTGTCAAAGCCGACGATGAAAATTTCTTTTTAAAAAAGAAAATGGTATCTAGAAATGATTGCATAAATAAATCTTTCTGAATCATTAACTTTTTTCCTACAGCATTTGTTTTTTCCTTTCCTTAAAATTAAGATATTTTAAATGCACAAAATAACTTTCATGTCAAAGGTTTAAATAAAGAACTGAATTTTAAAAAATTCATAATAAAAGAACTTCTCAGTTACGACAACAAATAAGAATAAATTACAACAATTTTATTGTTGTTGTTTTAATGCAGCTGGCAATAAAGAGATAATTGATCTTTATGCCATAAGCAAGGGCTGCACCGCTGTTACTCATTTATCACTACCCAGAGGGCACGTGTAGCTTGAAGATAGGCTACGGGCTCGAGTAACACTACTCCCACAACACTCTACGATCCTATTAGACAGCGATCTACTGTTAAAGTGGATTCCTAACCACTACAATCATCCATGGCACCACCGGAACCCGAAATCTGTGTTACCGAGCGCAGAGCCCCTCAATTTTATGAAAAAAATTGTAGATATTAGAGAGTTTTTGCATACCGTATTTT